AGGTTGTAAAAAGAATTAAGATGTGTCATGCACATGTACCAACTCCCCACAATGAATTTAATCATTATGTACTGTAAACATGTACTAATAAAAATTTTTTTTAAATCCTAGGGCTACAAATAAAGTTAAGGTAAAAATAACATAGAAAATATTGACAAGTTTAAAAGGACAAATAAAATCTAAAGAGAATTTTGGTTAATAATTTGGTGCATTTCTTAAATCCTGCCTCCCTTTCATTCAAACAAAACTAAGATCATACTGTACTCTTTTGTATTCTATTTATATTTGTATGGCATTAGATTTATTATAAGCTTACTGTATTAATTGAAAATATTATGATTGCAGTATTCTTTTGCTAGAGCATATACCATAGTTTATCCATTCTCCTATTATGAACTTTTAAACTAATTCCAGTACTATCAGAAGTATTTGGTGAATATATTTCTATGTAACCCGTTGTGTACATCTCTCATTCATTTCTTAAAATACATTTTTAGAACTAGAATTACTAGATCAAAATGTATACATTTTCAGATATTTTGCCCCCGCAAAATTTTTTGGTACCAGGGATTGAACTCAGGACCTTGTGTTTGCAAGGCAGGTGGTGGCACCACTGAGCTAAATCCCCAACCCTTCCCAGAATTTTTCAAAAGATAAATCAGTTTTTAATTCTCACTAATGGTAACTTTTCAGAATGAGCACTCCAATTTAAGTGTTATATAATTTTTGGCCTATATTTGTTCCCTAAGACACTTAAATAATCTCGTGTTATGATTACTGGTATGGTAACTTTGACTATTACCTAAGAAAATTTATTTACTTTTAATAAGAAAATTAAAAGAATGTGAAAAGGCAATCTGCTCAAAATGTATTCACTAGGAAAAGTTTCATATAAAGTGTATTTCAAGAAATATTTATAAAATAACTAGAATTACATTCTAAAATTTTTTGCAAAAACTATGGGAACTGCTTCCCATTTAAACTGAAAGGTGCACTCTAAAAACAAGTTTTTCAGAAATACAATATTGCTACAATACCAACATAAAATTCATATAATTTTCTTCTAAGCAATTCAAATGCTATGATTATGCACAATTCAAAAATGCTATGGTTATGCACAAAAACACATGTATTTTGTTGGTATAAGAACCTGAGCATTGTATTGTAGCCCACTAAAAAATGGGAACTGCAAGGAAGAAAGGTTTTTCTGGCTAGGTCCGCTGGTGCAAATAGTAACCATCTTTCTTAAAAGGTTAGAGAGGCCAGGTGTAGTGGTGGTGCATGCCTATAATCTCAACTGCTCAGGAAGCTGAGGCAAGAGGATAAGAGACCTGTCTGAAAGTTAGGAAAACAGACAGTAAGAAAGGGAGAGGGGAACAAGCCAAACATGTAGCTCAGTGGTAGAGCACCCCTGGGTTTAATCCCTCGTAGAGGAAAAAAAGGTTAAAGACAATGGGTAACTTGAGTCATCTGCTTCCATAACAAATTAACGTAAGCAATTAATTTCTAGGAACTGTTTCTACTCTTAAAATTTATGAGAAAGTCACTCTATGTTTTTATATTCACTTTCATTCATGATATTCTTTTATTCCTATTTAACATATTCACTAGGCTCCAATAAATTTTCAAGTCATCAGGGCAACAGCTCATTCTACTATTTCACTAGAGATACTGATTTAGTAGTAGAAAGTTGCTAATTGTTGAACATTTACCTCCACTGACACTGTAGACTAAATATAGTATGAATCTATACCTCCTTTGTAAACCACCTTATAGTGTATAAATGTTTCACTAAAGAAATAATTTTCAATGAGAACAACACTAATAAAATGGAAGAGTGTCAATGTGATATAAATCTTTCATTAAATTATCATTTACTAAATTTACTGCAGTCCCATCTGAAGTACATAATAGGAGCATATTACAAAAGATTGAATAGCAAGAGACTTTAGTTAAGTTCTGTGCTAATATCTCTAGGTTTCTCTCTGAAGAAGTATATCAACAAAATATTTTAAATTTTAAATTTTTTTTGTTTTTTGTTTTTGTTTTTGTTTTGGTACCGGGGATCGAACTCGGGTCCTTGTGCTTGCGAGGCAGGTTGCGGAACCACTGAGCTAAATCCCTGGCCCTGAAATTTTAAATTTGTATCTTAAGTGTGTTAGCTAAAATTAAAGTTTGGAATGTCATTGGTTACTGGCGAGAAAAAATCATTTGCACTACTACCACTATATTGGTGCTTTTAAAACCTTCAACTTCCTAGAAAATAGTATTTCAATCTAAAATGAGACTGTATCATTGCTGTCCTAAGTAAAATTGCAATGGATGCTGATGTTAACCAGGTTATATTTTGATCAGTAACAATAGTGAGACTCTTTAAATTTAAAACATAAAGGGGGCTGGAAGTAGCTCATTACAGAGAACTTGGTTCCAATCCCCAGTTCTCTTTCATATATCTGGCCTCTGTCTGCTCAGGATCAAACCTAGGGCCTTGTACATAGCAGGCAAGCACTGTACCACTGAGCTGCGCCTCTTGCAGCTCCAGTTGCTCTTTAATTTAAATATTTGTGGTCAAAATAATCCAATCAGAGTATACTATTTGAATAAAATTCCTAGGAGAAAACTTTTCAAGTTCTTTTTTTATTATTATTAATTTATTTATTTATTTTGTCAACTTTGCAATTTAAAAGCCTAGCGCCTATACCAAAATGAATTCATTCACAAATGTTTAATGAAAAGTGACATTGTAAAGTTATTTGGAGCATAAAGTGAATCTTCCTTTAAAGTATAAAAAGCAATAAAATAATGTTGGTAAGTTCTTCAGATAAGTTCTTTCTCCAAGGACTTCATTACTCCACAGCCAGTCAAAGCACCACTTCTTATTCCCCCAAATTTGGCAGTGATTCTTATAAAATAATGGGGAAAAATAGCACCTGAGAAAGGGAGAGCTGGGTGTGATCCCAGTGCGTATAGATGATGCCCTCAGTGCTGAATAGTCAGTGGATGAATAGGGAAGGGATAGAAGTACTATTATTGGGTCTGTTTCCTTCAGTGAGAATACAGGCAGGTTCTGTAGAAAGGTAATAAAACCTATTGGTGTGTGAAACAATCTAGAGACAGTAATAAAATACAGACAAAGTAAATTAAAGCTTAATTCATTTTAATGAACTGTGGTTATGGGTGGATTTTTTGTTATTTTAATTTGGTTTTTCAGTACTGGGCATTGAACTCAGGACCTTCACACTGAGCTTTATCTCTGGCCCTTATTTTATGTTCAGTCTGAGTTATATCCCCAGCCCCTTTTTAAAATTAAGACATGATCTTTGTAAGTTGCCCAGGTTGGGCTCAAATTTGCAATCCTCTTGCTTCACTTTCTAGGAGTGCTGGGATTTTAGGTATGTGTCACCACACCCAGCATGGATGGTTCTTTTGTTTATTTTTTATTTTTGATCATTGTTTTTCTCCTGTTACTGATCTGTAAAATTCAATTCTTATATTGTAAGAATTTTGTTCTTTCAGTTAGCATTTATTGAGTACTTTATGTCAAATTTGGAGGATAATAGTAGGAGGCCTGCCTACTTAAAAGGACAGCTATGAAAATATCAGTTTAATATTGTGATAGGTGCTGTTACCAAAGTGTTGTGCATACTATAATGGAAACAGTGGGATTTTAACCTCTAAGAGCAAATGGGCTTTTATCATTTTTTTGAAATACAGAATAAGAATAAATTGGAAAAATATTTCATTGTTTTAAGATTATCCTGAAGCTCATACTACATTATGGAAGGACAGAGAATTGGTTAAGAGAAGGAGATCACAAGAGAAAGGATTCATTTTGATAGTTTGGGCAAACCAAGTTCAAGTACATATAATTTAAATATCCCTCTTGTAAAGTTATAGACTAAAAAATAGTTTAAATCAGATAATTTAAAATTTTTAAATTATTACTCTGAAGCCGGGCGTGGTGGCACATGCCTGTAATCCCAGCACTCAGGAGACTGAGGCAGGAGGATCCCTGTGAGTTCGAGACCAGCCTGGGCTGCACAGTGAGTTTCAGGTCAATCTCAACTACATAGTGAGACCCTGTCTCAAAAAACAAAAACAAAACAAAACAAAAAAATTATTACTCTGAACAAGGAAGTAGGCAAAATGCTCTGAAATAAGAAAAAGTAGATGCTTCCTATTTTCAATTATAAATAAGGAACATCTTCATAAAGGCTGGTTGCTAGACACAGATATTTAAACAATCCATTTATTATTTTGTAATCATAAATGTCTCCTGTGGCATGCAGAATTTAATGAAGTTATATATAGGAAAAAGTGTTATAGCTTCAAAGATATTTTTGCTTGTGGTGCCACAGCCTGCCTCACCAGCGCAGGGTCCTGAGTTTGATCCCCTGGTACAAAAAAAAAAATTTTTTTTAAATAACTGATAAATGTTTTATTTTTAAATGAATTCATTTATTGCATTGGTTGCTATTTCTTTGCTGGACTATAGCCAAAGAATTCTTTTTTATGAATGGTAACTTAAAGCTTGATTTAGTTTTTAATTTGTCCAGGAGTAATATTTTTTAAAGGAAATTTTCCTTTAAAAAGTGGTAAGTAGCCATAGTTTTAGGTAAATATAATGCTTTCTTCAAAAGTCCTTGTACCATGGAATATATATTTGTACTCCAGTAGGACAAAAAAATTTAATACTGATCTGTTTTTATTATCCAAATAAAATTTATATAAAGTTTCTTTGTCTTACGTTTAGTTTTTGAATGCTGTCAAATGAGTTACGTAATATTGTGATATATTTGTGTTATTTCTTGGGAAATGGGTTTTCTATGATTATTTGAACCTAGTATGCTTATCTATACTAACAGATTCTTTTATAGTTTACAAATTGCTATTTCACTGTTAATGGTGGTTTTACATGTTGTGGAAATGAATTTCCTTATCATTTTACTTACTTGATCAAATTGAAAATCTTAACTATATTTTAAAACTTTTTGCCACAGCGTTTTACCAACGAGGATCATTTGGCTGTCCATAAACATAAACATGAGATGACACTGAAATTTGGTCCAGCACGTAATGACAGTGTCATTGTGGCTGGTTAGTATATGCTTTTATTAATAGCTTATATACATATTTCACCTGGAATGTGCACAGTTTTTGTGTATTCTCTGTAAATATTATAGTCTGGTGATCTTCCAATGACTTCATTTACAGTAAATGTTGGCAACATGTATTTTACCCATTACATTTCCATGTTTCTTTTTGATCATTCATTTTACTTTATTGTATGGTTTTCAAATATAGATTTCATTGTTTTATGGAAGTTAATTAGAACCCTGGGAACATTCATACCATCTACAAAGTTTACATTTAATTGATAATTGAACTAATATAGTGTTTAGTCCATGTTTCTTTTAGCTCTCTCTACCTGAGTGACAAGACTGTATGAAGATAGGAAATGATCAAGCTCCTCTTGTTAGTGTAATTAGCAGACTTGTTCATTAGAATTTTGTTATACTGCATGTATATTTTTTCTCAGAGTCAACATTTTTATTAGTAAAATGCTGTCAATAAAGGACACCTAAATTCAGTCATTGCTTTTTTGTGTGTGAACCCTGTAGCCGTACAGTATCATCTAAACAGATGATAATTTTTCATATTTGAAAAGAGAAAGCTGATTTGTATATTGGTTATTGTTCCATGCTGTATTAGCTCCCTGTTCTGGTGTTTAAATATATACTAAATATATGTACAGGCATATCTGTGTATATGTATACAGACATATTATGTATATTTTAAGTACATTTGTATATTTTCTGCATAAGCATTGTGATAAAAAAAGTTTTATATAAAGTTTAGGCCTTTTTACCATAATCACAAATTTGTATATCATAAATATTCCAATAAACTCTAGATTCTTTTCTCTTATAAAGCTTAGCTTACAATAGTTTCAATTCTGAAACTCTACCTATTGTATTATTAATATTTACAGATTATTATTCTGTAGAGATCAAATTGTCATATACAGTGCTTCAGATCGATGATAAGAACAGTACTGGATGATTGTTCCAGTATAAAAATTTTGTAATAAAGAAATTAGAGGAGGTAGCTAGAAGTTGGTAATTTATTAAAAGCAATTCATGTAGGAGAACTTTCAACGTATCTTCAATTCTGTAAGTAAAAGGAAGCAAAGAAGAGTAAGGTATACCATTCTTTGGAATATTAACGCATCCTAAATTTAGAGCTAGAACCAGGAAAAGAGAGGGAAAAGGGGCAAACAAACAAAATAACAGCAAACTGGAAAAGCTGTCTCCTTGAAAGTCTTTGTTCCGCTGAAACTTCCTGCCTTACAGAATCCTCTGTTTTACAGGGTTTCTCTGTGTAGTTCAGACTGGCCATGAACTCCCTCTGTAGCCCAAGTTGGTCTCAGATTTGCCATGATCCTCCTGCCTCAGCCTTCCAAGTGCTGAGATTGCAGGCATGTGCCACCATACACAGCATCTGTGTAAATTTTTAATTTACAAAGTGTTTTAAAAGTTAGTTTCAATTTGAATATAATACAGATTAGGACACATTCAAACATAGTACCTTAAACATTTTTATACTAACATGTTGATAAATAGTTTAATATTACTCTATAAATAAAATGCATGATGTATGTAGAATATATTTGATGATCAATAGCCATATTCAATCTGCATGTTAAACTGTTGTACCTATTTTCTCAAGTATTGATGGTTCCATTAATTGGCAAAGTGGTTTATACCTATATGTTTTATCACTTTTTCCTACAGCTAGTGTAAGTTAAGAACCCCCTAATAAACTTACATAAATCCTTTGAGTGTGAATAGAAGAGCCAAATTTATATTTGACCTACTAATTTAGTCATGAGGGATTTATGGTGACACATGAACATGAGACCCATACTATATGATTTTGGAGGTCTTTGGGGTGTTAGGAGTTGGTATATATTGCAGATTAATAGATAAAATCATACAATGGAATCCCTGTAGTAATCTTGGTATTACTAATACCATCTAAGACTGGCCTTGTGTAATGTGTGTGACAAGCAGGTGATTTTTATGTTAAGTATATTTATATATAATAAAAATTTTAGGGATCTGGGTATACATGTGAGGGACAAAGATAATGTCCACTGTGGGAACACAGTAGTTAACAATTAGAGGAGTTTTAATTTCACAAAATATTTTGATTATTTTACCTTCAACAAGGAATTATCCTAATATGGTACTTGTATTTATTTTATGCTAAATTCCTGATTTAACTTACAAAACTGATGCTCTAAAATACATAAAATGTATATAAAATTTGAATATACTTCCAACTATAGAGTGAATAAATAGCCTTGAAAATAATAAGAATAGGACTAGGGATGTAGCTCAGTGGCGCCACACTTGCCTGGCAAGTGTAAGGTCCTGAGTTCAATTCCCGGTACCAGAAGAAAAAAATAAAATAGTAAAAATAAATGGACAAAATTTATAAATTTGCTGTTTTTCATTCAACATGAACCTCAACTGGCATTTGTTCATTAGGCAATGCGTGACCATTCAGTACGTGTCTTAATATGTATAACACGAATGTATATTTGAGTATAGTTTAAATATTTTCAGTTGTAAGAAAGTAGAGTTGACTTTTCCTCTACTGTTTAGAAATTAAGCTAGAACATTCTTTCACCGTGATTCTTGTATTTCTCTCGTATCAGTCTGATAAGATGCATACAATTTAAAAATTAGAAGATAGGAAGGTTTTGTTTTTCAGGTCTTTTAACTTTCTTTTCTTCGTAGTATTTTAATCTACCCACTAAAGACTGTTTTATCTTAAGCTTGCTTTTATCTTAATTATAAACACCTTAAAGGGCAATTTAAAACAGACATACATGCTTTTATTATAGTTTTCCCCAAATTGCATGTATTCAAAAATAACCATAATGTTTAATAAATGTAAAGTTTTTAAAATTCTTATCAGTGTGTTAGATATTGATAATAGTTTACCTCTTGAGTAGACTATGTTTATGCCACTCTACTCAGAGGAGGAGTGGATTGAGGAACAAAAATGATTTCTTTCATACTTTTTATCATTCATAAAGTTGGAGGAAATATCTTGTAGTGCATCAAAAACTTAACCAAATTTTGTTTGCTTTAAAGGAAGAGGTCTTTCCAAAGAGAGAATTAACAACTGACTGAACCAGTTCTTCTAATTTGTTAATTAACTAACTATACTTTAGAGCCTTTACATGATATCAAAAAGTAACCACACAGATTTAAATGTTTATTTCAGATCAGACCCCAACACCAACAAGATTCTTGAAAAACTGTGAAGAAGTGGGTTTGTTTAATGAGTTGGCAAGTCCATTTGAGAATGAATTCAAGAAGGCTTCAGAAGATGACATTAAAAAAGTATGTTATTAACCCATGAAATTAAAAAAAACCCATGAAATTAAAAAATATATATATGGATGGAAAAGCAATGATAGTTTGCATTTCCCACTTCTTCATTTACACATACTGATTGGCTGCTTTTGAACTTCTAACATTTTCTTCATTGTTTGTTACAGATGGCTCTAGACTTGTCCCCTCTTGCAACACCCATCATAAGAAGCAAAATTGAGGAACCTTCTGTTGTAGAAACAACTCACCAGGATAGCCCTTTACCTCATCCAGAGTCTACTACCAGTGATGAAAAGGTTAGAAATACGTTTTTATGAAATACAAAGGGGGGAAATTGGTACCTCAAGTAAAATTTACTTAATCTCCATAAAATATCAATATATTACATTTTACATAATTCAGTGTCAGCTTATATAGTTTTGTGTATAAAAACTTGTGAATTCTCAAATATTTCAGAACATCCCTCTGTCATAAATAAATATACCTGAAAATTATAAGGACAGTCATTTTAGAAGAATCTGTTATTTTAAAACAAACGTATAAATTATAAATTTAACTTAATTTTTAATTTTAGCTACTTTTATATAATGACAACTTAATGAAGAAACTACAACTAAAAAATTGACCAATGATTATTTAGACTGTTAAAGCTTAAAGAACTAGTCATACCTAGTTACCAGCAACTAAAATTATGATGGGGAAGACATCAGATAGTCTGGTAACCTGAGGTTATTTGAGCTATGTTATGCATTTGTAACATTATTACAGGTACTTCCTGGTTACTCTTTCATTCATAATCATATAGAATGAACTCATGTTTATTTGGTAGCTCCATGTGGGACACATTGAAGGGACAGATAATGGCGATATTCTGTTTTAGATTATGTTATTCTTAAACTGTAACATACTGATGGACATCAGCCATGGTAGAAAGGCTAGAAATAAGGAAATACAGCCATGTATTACTTAATGACAGAGATACATTCTGAAAAATGCATCAGTAGACTCAACCTTGTACAAACATTTTACACTTACACAAACCTGTGGAACAGTGGACTACACACTTCTACTCTCTGAGATAGCCTAATTCTCCTAGGCTATAAGCTTGTACAAATGTTACTGTACTAAATATTATCAGCAGTTGTTACACATGGTTAAGAACTTATATATCTAAGCCTAGAAAAAGTACAGTAGAAACACAGTGTAAAAGTCATAAAAATATGTAAGTGCATTTGTATGGGGCAGTTATCATGAATGGAACCCACAGAACCAGAAGTAGTTCTGGATGAGTGTTGAATTAATATGAAGGCATGGGATATGACTGTATACTACTTCAGACTATATGTATATGGTTAAGCTATGCTGTATTTTTATTAAATTCTTCCTTTAATAATAAATTAACCCTTAGCTTACTGGAACTTTTTTTTTTTTTTTTTGGGTATCAGGGATTGAACTCAGGACCTTGCTTGTGCCTATAAGTCAGGTGGCGGCACCACTGAGCTAAATCCCTGGCCTTGGAACTTTTTAATTTATAAGCTTTTTATTTTTTTTAAACTTTTTGACTTTTATTATAACATTTGACTTGAAAGACAAACACAATGTATAGCTGTACAAACATGTTTTCTTTTTTGTGTCCTTATTCTTTGTTTCTATTGGAAATTTTTTCTTTTTAAACTTTTGTTAAAAAGTAAGACACATGGACCAGAGATTTAGCCCAGTGGTGCCACCGCCTGCCTCATAAGCGCAAGGTCCGGTTCAATTCCCGGTGCCAAAACAAAAACACAGGCGCACACATTAGCCTAGACAGACACAATCAGAATCACTTATATCAGTCTTCTACCTTCATATGTTGTTCAACTGGAGGCTGTCTGGGGCATTGTGGAACTCCATCTCCCATGATGACAGGCCTTCTCTTAGACTCTCCTGGAGTACCTGCCTGAGGCTCTTTTTGAGGATATGCAGCTTTCTTCAGAAATATGCTCATGGTGATTTGCTTGGTTTCTTTTTTGTCATACATTTTTCATAAGCAGATAATGTACCTTGAATATTCATCTCTAGTAGTGAAAACCTTTGGTGTAGGAGTCCATGTTTTCAAACTCTTAAGCAGCTTACTGAAGTCTGCAAAACCTGCTGACCCTCTCAATGTGAATTTTCCTGGGGTTCTTCTTTTTCTTCTGCAGTTTTCTTATCACCTGTCTCTTCTTGAAGTTTGTGTTCACTAAGCAATAGAATTTTTCTGTTTCATTATTATTTTACAGTATCACCATTGTGTTATACAGTGGTATATGAGTTCAGGTAAAGTAACTTTTTCAAGAATAAATGCTTTGATTTTAGTGATAGTTTGGGATTTTTTTCTTTTGTAGATTAAAAAAGTACATTCTCATTATGAAAAAAAAATTTTT